CAATAATATTTTCCATCACATCTATACTTTTTTCTTCTTTTTCAACCACACATTTCCCATCATATCACTATTCAAAATCAATTCTTCCCCCAAATATCCCTACCAAACAAGCACTTACATTCCTTCAGTGTCTGTAGTTTCTCTGTCTACATGTACTTACATTTTTTTGTATCTATCGCTAATCCTAACCCAACTCCACAATGCATGAAATTCTGCACATTCGAAGAGGCCAATGCAGCAACCAGATCGGGTCTAAGTTCTGGGAGGTGGTGTGTACAGAGCACGGTATTGACTCCACCGGACGGTACAAAGGCGATAATGATCTGCAACTGGAGAGGGTTAATGTCTACTACAATGAGGCTAGCTGTGGGCGGTTCGTCCCACGTGCCGTTCTCATGGACCTCGAACCTGGCACCATGGACCTCGAACCTGGCACCATGGACAGTGTCAGATCTGGACCTTATGGGCAGATATTACGGCCTGATAATTTCGTTTTTGGGCAGTCCAGTGCTAGGAACAACTGGGCGAAGGGTCGTTACACCGAGGGAGCTGAGCTAATTGATTCCGTTCTTGATGTAGTGAGACAAGAAGCCGAGAATTGTGATTGCCTACAAGGTATTTTGTTATTTTCCTTTTCAAAGTATGAATATTTACTATTCATTTATTCTACTCATTTTCAATCACATATTCTTCAAAATTTTCATTGAAATTTTCAATCACACATTCTTACTTCTACTCATTAAAATTATCTAACCCATGTTTGAGTCACATTAAAATTTTTATTCTCACTTCTACTCATTTTCAATCACACATTTTTCAATAAAATAATATTTTATATCGCATCAATAACTTTTCCTTCTTTTTCAACCACACATTCTCCATCAATCAACTATTTTAAAATATGTTCTTCCAAAAAAATGTGGCTTAAACACACCCATAGTCTGTTTTTCACTTTTTCTCATCTTTTGACGTTTTAGAAAATTTTGAAAACTGTTTGTCTTACAGTGACTAAATCTGCAGTAGTTTGGACATAATATGCACTCATTGGTGCATCACCAGGGGTGGACGCAGACAATTAAAGTTAGGGAGCACAATCAAACTTGTAAAAAAATTGGACAAAATTTTACAATTGAAAATTTACATCCAAAAAAATCATATCTCATGTAATTTTGCATCCGAAAATTTACATGGAATATGATTTTTTCGGATGTAAAATTTCGAAAATTTTTGATGTCACATCCCATATAAATTTATTAATAAAATAATGCAAATTACATTAAAAAATTTGTATAATAAAAATAATAAATGTTAATGAAATAATTAATTTTTTTTAAAAAATGCGAGTTAGAAGCCTTTTTTTTAAGACATACGTTTGACTCATCTTTACTATTTGCGATATCTGTTTGAACTATTCGATATGCCATAATGTGGTCCTCAAAACGGGTTTTGAGTTGATATAAGCGATTTGTAAATTCGACTACCGTACAATCGTCGGAGAATTTTTAAAGTTAGTAAGTTATCAAAATTCTCGAAATACTAATTTTAAACCGCTTACTTTGACAAGTCGTAACATTTGCTACGATTGGTCATTTCGCACGCCGTTAACGACATAAAAAATTAGACTGTGAGCACTTCGAAATGGTATTAAGAATGCAATATTTCGATTTCGTTTCACATCTTATAATGATTTCGAAAATTGAAACAAAACATATTAAAAAAAAAANGTTTTACCTTTGAGCTTTTCCATTCAAACTTGCTTATCTTTTTTCAGTTGGCGATAGCAACTTCTGTTTAGATTTCACTTTGGATCAAATTCACCAACTAATAATAGAAAGTGGGAATTCGATTGCAAACATCCCACCAGAATGATGTCTCCATTAACAAACCATTCCATAATACATTTCTGGCCTTTTCATCTGATATATTCTCGCAAGCCATCATTTCAGTACTGAACCATGCAAAATAGCCCTTTAGAGACTCTCATTCTCTTGTCGTATATCATTTAATCATGAGGTTGGAGCTTAGCGTAGTTTGCTTCCAATGAATGCTCTCAGGGAGGCTTGCTTCAAATGTGGCAAACTTTTAATTGATCCTAGCAGCAATTTGTTATACTACATTTTAGCATATCCATCAAGAGTCAAATGTATTCCCTAGCACTTTAGCACAGGGCTTGCTTATTTTAGTTTATGAATAGATGGTACATAAGATGTTACATCTCAAATTTTTAGTCAAAAGTCAATGGTTGAATTGTCAAGGTCAAGGTCAATATGGACTTAATTGTAATAATTTATTTTTCTTGGGACTTATTTTATATTCAAGATAATTGAGGGTTAAGGTGGTTTAAATTAAAAGATGAGGACTTACTTACATATCATTGGAAGTTGGGGGACTAACTTTGCTATAAGCCCAATCACTTAGCATTTTAAAACCCATTTCTTTTCCATTTCCCCACCATTCACGTAGAGAGCTGGGCAGAGAGCTGGAAACCGAGAAAAAAAGAGAAGAAAAAGGGGAAAAGAAGAAGGAAAAGAAGGGGAAAAAGAGGAAGGAAAAGAGGAAGGAAGGAGAAGAAGGTAAGGTGGTTATCAAACTTGATTTCGATTTTTATTTTAGCTATTTTCTTAGAAGTAGAGATATATTATGTTAATTTCTAGGGTTTTAATTGGGTTCGAAAATTTCAAATTTTAGGGGACAAATCATGATTTTTAGCTCAAGTTTCCTTGGTGGTTAGCTTCCATTTGCATTTAAGGTAAGAAACTCTATTTTTGGGTAAACCCTAGATTTTCCATTGGATGTTTGAATAAGTATTGTTAGTGGGAATTGTAGTGGTGATGTAATACTTACAAGAAAGCATGATTTTATGGAAAAATATGTATGTTTAATTGGTTGGATGTTAATTATTAGTTGTTACTTGATTGGAGGAGATATTTGTAGTTAATCTTAGAATGAAGGTTATGCTGATTTATTGGGTATTAGTAAATGGACTCGAAAATGTAATTGGTCCCATTTGATTAAAGGAATAATTTGGACATTCATTCAAATATCGAGAAATTTGATTGAAGTAATATAACATTGCATATTAGAGGTTTTTTTGACTTGATAATGGTTGAATTAGTTATCTTACATGATTTTTCAGGTGGTGACACCGAGATTGGAAAAGTCTACCGATATTTATAGACTGTAACTTGTTTTGAGAGAGTGGAGAACATGTTTTTCCATAAAGAAGATTTCTTTTAAATTTATAATCTTATAATCATGATTATTTAATATTAAGGTTGAAATGATTCCAAATTTTTAAAAAAGCATATTAGTTACCTAAAATGTTTTATTTTCGAGAAATTAGTAAATGAGAGCATGATTATCTTGAGACCATCAGAAACTACCCTATGTAATCATCTTACTCTAGTGCACTAAGGGGNACTGAGGGGCTACGGCCGTGTACTAGAGTCGTGTATTTGACTCCTATACACTGAGGGGCTGCAACGGTGTATAAAGGTAACTCTTATCCACTGAGGGGCTATGGCCATGTGTAAGGGTACCTATTATGCACTGAGGGGCTACAGCCGTGTATAAGGATGATTATGTTATTTCCACTTTATGCACTGAGGGGCTACGGCCATGTACAGAAGTGTTGATCAAACAGTTTATGTGTATATGACTTTATAGCTTTTAGATCATCAGCAGATGATTACATGGGGTATAAGTTATGATGTGATTATCTAGTATATATGGGATTATTAGCTTGCACCTTACATTTTCCAGCTTCCCGTTCAGCTTATTGATTTCAAATTATGTTATAGCTTACTGAATTCGACTTGTGTACTTACTCATTTTGATGTATTAATTATTATCATTTCTAGATATCAGCTTGAGTATAATTTATGATTTAGCACCATCATTATGAATTTATATGGTGTTATGATACAGATTTCAAGAATAATGAGTACAGCAAGATAAGTGGAATATCAGTTTCATTTTTGTATAAATGTAGATACATATATAAAGGACAGAATAACTATCTTTGTAACACTCCACTCACTGGGATTATCATCTCATATGTTTTCTTAATATCTTTCTTATAGGAGGCAGTTGACTAAGCAGTGGTGAAGATTATTCTAATAGTTTTGCAGCCACTACCACCACCAATTGTAGGTCTTGTCGATTAGAACAGTGTAACCATCAAGTAAATCATTTACATCATTTTTGGAGGATTTTTGTATTTAAATGTACCATTGGTCACAATGGAATATTGTAAACTGAACTGCGTCACTATTATCTTTTGGGAAGCAATTATGCTGCTTAGTGATATAGATATTTTGGATGGATGTGTGACTGATATTATGGTGTTTATGTGTTGGTGTTTGGAAAATGTTATGATTACAGGATTAAGTATGGTTCCATTTTCAAAGGAGACTCTGTCAAAATTTTCAAAAAGAAAAATAATAACGAAAAAGGGGTTTTTATTGGTCAAAGGAGACCATGCAATTGAAGTATAGTTATAGTTGCCTTGATGATGGGTCCAGTCCTAAGCTGGCACTTATCATCGGCGCACGTCACGTCTTGAGTCTAGTAAGGAGTTTGGGACGGGGCATGACAGGAACTCTTCTGATATCTAAGATCAGGGAAGAGTATCCAGACCGTATGATGGTATCAGACACTGTTGTTGAGCCCTATAACGCTACACTGTCGGTCCACCATCTTGTTGAGAATGTCGATGAGTGCATGGTGTTGGATAATGAGGCTCTCTATGACATTTGCTTCAGAACTTTGAAGCTCACATCTCCGAGCTGTACGTTACTCTTCTCCTGTCTTTTTAGACAGTTAAAAAATTCAGTCGTATACTGTTTTGTATGTTAAATTAACGTGTCCATGTTATTCATGAGCAGTGGGTTCGATGTCTATTATGTTAGCATTGTAGCAACTATGGTTCAATTATATGATCTTTTCTTTGTGATAAAAAATCTAGTTTTCTGGTTGCCTGAAAGATCATTTTTCCTCAATGTTAGATGATTTAATGCTTTCAAGATTATATAGTATGTTGTGCTTGATTTATACCGTTACTTGATTCTCAGATTCTTAGTTACACAGATGTGAGCCCTATGGATTTTCTAGTCTATCATAGTTCATTATTTTCATAGAAGTTTTCTGGTCTTAATTTATTTGTGGATTTTTCTTGACCAGTTGGTGACCTGAACTATCTCATATCTGCTACTATGAGTGGTGTGACTTGCTGCCTTTGGTTCCCTGGTCAATTGAACTCAGATCTTTGCAAGCTTGCTGTCAACCTCATTCCATTCCCCCGTCTTCACTTTTTCATGGTTGGGTTTGCGCCACTCACCTCTCGTGGGTCACAGCAATATCGAGCCCTTACCGTTCCTGAACTCACCCAGGAAATGTGGGATGCAAAGAACATGATGTGTGCTGCTGATCCTCGCCATGGACGTTATCTGACTGCCTCTGCAATGTTTCGTGGCAAGATGAGCACGAAGGAGATAGACGAGCAGATGATTAACGTACAAAACAAGAATTCATCCAGTTAAATTTTGAGCTGAGAAAATACTGAATTCTTCTGTATTAGCTTCTCTGGTGATTACACGGTTTATATACAAAATTACAACAGTAAAGAATGTTCTAGAATTATGCTACCAACAAGACTAACAACCTGTCCTAACTGGCAAACAAGATGAGATTCTTTTCCTGAAAATCAGGATGTGTAGTGCTAGCATAAAATCTGTTTCTTGGCAGCCGACTATTTTAACTCCCCCCTCAAGGTGGAGTGTGTTCTACCACTCCAAGCTTGTCTCTAAGCAATTGAAATCTTGAATGTGACATTGGTTTAGTCAGCAAGTCTGTTGTTTGTCTGGAGAAGGAATGTAGCTTATCTTCAACTGATTTTCAAGCACTTTATCTCTTATAAAGTGGGCGTCTAATTCTATATGTTTTGTTCGAGCGTGGTACACAGGGTTGGAGGCCAACGCACTTGCACTAAGACTGTCACACCAGATAACTGGAATTTGTTGCTGTGGTATTTTCAGCTCCTCCAATAGCGACTGGATCCAAGTAACTTCTGTAGCACAGTGAGCTAAAGCCCTGTACTCAGCTTCTGTACTAAAGCCCTGTACACAGAATAAGTCAAGTCTGGTCTAGTATGAGCAAGGTATTGGAGACCTCCTATAGCACTTCTATACAGAGTGGGATCCTTCATAGCTTGCCCTTCTGTTTTAGAAACTGGTTTCCCTATAGCCATAGGTGTTGGGCTAGGCTTCAAGCTTTCATACCCAAACCTTTTTAGCAACTCTATTGCATATCTAGTTTCTTGAGGTAAAGTCCAGTTGCATCCCTCTGAACTTCAATTCCCAAAAACTTGCTCAGTTTTCCCATGTCTTTGAGTGCAAACGTGAAGTTCAACTTGTCAATGAACCCTTGTATTTGTTGACTATTGTTGCCTGTTATTACAATATCGTCAACATATATCAATGCAAAAATTATATCAGTTCCTGTATCCAAGTAGAATAAGGAATTATCTGCCTTAGATTGCTTGAAGTTCCATTCCAACAAGGTGTGCTTTAATTCATCATTCCAAGCTCTTGGGGCTTGCCTTAGGCCATATAAGGCCTTCTTCAATTTGCAAATGTAATTAGGGTGCTTCTCATCAATGAATCCCTGTGGCTGATCCATAAAAATAACCTCACTCAAGTTACCATTCAGAAACGCATTATTTATGTCTACTTGTCTGATTTCCCAGTCCTTTGATATAGCAAGTGTTAAGATGATCTTCAAGGTTGAGGCTTTAATAACTGGGCTGAATGTTTCACTGAAGTCAATCCCAGGAGTTTGCAAGAACCCCTTTGCAACAAGTCTGGCTTTGTGCCTTGTAACTTTCCCACTTGAGTCATATTTCAGTTTGAAAACCCACTTATTGCCTATGACTTTCATTCCAGACTCTGGTGGGACTAAAACCCAAGTATCATTTTTCATGAGTGCATTGTATTCTTCTTGCATTGCACCTTTCCAATGTCTGTTTGTCAGAGCTTCTTCAGCATTTACAGGCTCAGTTACTGATGTTTCATCAAATGCTTCACTTGTATAGACTTTTGGTTTGAAGATGCCAGCCTTGCTTCGGTAGTCATTTGATGGCCTGGATTTTGAGCTATGATGGGGTTCTGGCAAGTCTATTTCTCCTGTTGCAATTTGGGAATTGATCTCAGTTGGTTGAACTTTTGATGTTTCAGTTCCTTCTAATACTTCCTGATTCAAAACATCACTCTGATGTTCCCGCGCCTCATCTCCTCTCACTTTAGTTTCAGTTTCTTAATCAGTGAAGCTTGCTGCAAGAGTACTTTCAGGTTGTATTGTACAGCCATCAGTTGCATTTTGAGGTAAGGAGTTAGGACTCAGGTCAATAAATGGAAGGTGATTTATAGTTGCATCACAGGTTTGAGAAGAAATACGTTTATTTAAAAAACCTGATTTAAATGGAAAGTCTTGCTCATTAAAAATAACATGTCTAGAGATGTAAATTCTACCATTTGAATTTAGACACTTATAACCCTTGTGAGAGTCACCATAGCCAAGGTATACACACTTTTGAGAGTGAAAGATGAATTTGTGTTTTTTATAGGGCCTAAGGTATGGAAAACAGGCACAGCCAAAGGTTCTAAGTTGTCTGAAGTCGAATTTTTTGTTGAATAAAGTTTGGAAAGGTGATTTTTGTTGTAATACAGAGGTTGGCAGCCTATTAATAAGGAAGGTAGCGGCCTTAAAGGATTCCCACCAATAATAAATAGGCATTTGAGCCTAAGCTAGGAGAGTAAGTCCAGTTTCAGTGATGTGCCTGTGCTTACGCTCAGCTCTACCATTCTGAACAGAGGTGTAAGGGCAAGAATGCCTGGGTTCGATGCCTGATTCAGCTGCTATTTTGCTGAAATTTCTGAATTTACCACCCCCATCAGACTGAAGTGATTTAATTTTTCTGTCTGGTTTATTTTCCACAAGATTTTTGAATTGAACAAAAATGGTCAAGGCCCCAGACTTGTGTTTCATTGGATAAACCCATGTATATCTACTATGATCATCAACAAAAATTATGTAGTATCTATATCCATTGGTAGAATTTAATGGGGCAGGTCCCCAAACATCAGTGTGGACAAGATCCAAGGGATTCAAAGTATGAGAAAGAGAAGTGCCAAACGGAAGAGCATGGGATTTACCAATTTTGCAGGACTCACAAAAAGTAGGAATTTCATTAGATTTAACATCTTTGTTACATGACTTTAGGACTTGACTCATAACATAGTTGGAGGGGTATCCTAATCTTTTATGCCAGAGATCAAGTTCGGACACAGAAATTTGTTTAACTGAGGACGAATGATCATCACAAAGTTCAACTGTGAAGCACTGGTAATTATTTTGAAGGTTGGACTCGATATTGATGTTTTCTGATTTTAGGTTAGGCAACCGCAGCTGGTACAATCCATCCCTAAGTACTCCTTGCAGCAGGGTCTTCCTCGTTTGGAGATCCTTAACAACACAGTAGTTAGAATAGAATTCCATAAAGATATTATTGTCAGCAGTGAGTTGGGAAACACTAATTAAGTTTCTTTTGATTGAGGGAACATGCAATAATCTGTTTAAGTCAAGTGATTTATTTATCGTGGCATAGATTTTTCCCTTTCCAATATGTGCAATATGTAGCTTATCTCCATTTCCAACAAACAATTTTTCTTTCCCCCCATATTTTTTAAGAAGATTCAGATTACCTTTATCTGTTGTCACATGGTTGCTAGCTCCAGAGTCAACAAACCATGCTGGATCCTCAAGAATTCCAGGTGTAGCAACATAGGCTGAAGGTGTTGAGTTAAGGTTCTGTTGTCCTGCATTGGCTGGTTTGCTTCCCATATATCTTTCATCATACCTATTGTAACACCAGCTCGCAGAGTGATTGCCTAGTCCACAGATTTGGCATGGACCTCTAGCTTCATTTTGTTTGCCAAACACAACTCTACATCTACCTCTTGCTCTATCCCTAAAGCTTGGTGATCTCCCTGCCTCTTTAACTTCTGCCAAAAACTGGACCAGTTCGATGTGCTAGCTGGACACTTGATTGGCTAACATTTAGTGATGTGAAGTTATTTCTCACCTGATTTAGGTGTTCAATTCGACTGTCAAAGGTCATCAGAACTGAAGATAACTCATGCCAGAATATAGTTTCCCTGCTGTTTATCTGCACCACAATGGGTGTGTATTCCTCATCCAAACCTGATAAAACTTGAGTAATCAGGTCACTTTGATCAATAGCTTTCCCTGCTATCTCCAAGTTATCAGATAATTACTTAATGGTAGTCAAGTATTGGTCCATTGTCATAGACCCTTTCATAGTTATTTGCAATTCACCTGTGAGAAACATAACTCGTGACTTGTTCAATATGCCGAAGCTCTTCTCTACTGCTAACCAGAGCTTGCTCGAACAGGTATAACCCATAACCTTCATAGCTATTTCCGGGGTCATAGAAGAATATAGCCAACCCATTAGAAGTTGATCAACTGAGATCCCCCTCACAAACTCAGGATTCTGTGTCATTTCAACTGTTTCTCCTTGTCCAACAGTTGTTTGAGTAGCCAAGAATTCTGGTGGACACATCTTTGTCCCCCAGTAGGTATCCTTCAAGGTTATGCCCTTTTATAATGGGCATTATTATATGTTTCCACAATAGAAAATTATTCCTATCGAGCTTGACTGCTGGCGTCTGAGTGATATTCATTCCAATGGACAAATGCTGGCCAGCAGTTGCCTGATTAATTGCTGGAGACGTGTTAAACTCAGACTGATTGCCGGATCCAGTGTTAGCCATTGTTGGCTCTGATACCAAGTTAAATTTTGAGCTGAGAAAATACTGAATTCTTCTGTATTAGCTTCTCTGGTGATTACATGGTTTATATACAAAATTACAACAGTAAAGAAGGTTCTAGAATTGTGCTACCAACAAGACTAACGACCTGTCCTAGCTGGCAAACAAGATGAGATTCTTTTCCTGAAAATCAGGATGTGTAGTGCTAGCATAAAATCTCTTTCTTGGCAGCCGACTATTTTAACTCATCCTACTTTGTTGAATGGATTCCTAACAATGTGAAGTCTACTGTTTGTGATATTCTTCCGACTGGCCTCAAGATGGCTTCGACTTTCATTGGTAACTCAACTTCAATCCAGGAAATGTTCCGAAGGGTCAGCGAGCAGTTCACAGCTATGTTCCACAGGAAAGCTTTCTTGCATTGGTATACTGGAGAGGGTATGGATGAGATGGAGTTCATTGAGCCAGAAAGCAACATGAACAATCTTGTTGCTGAGTACCAGCAATACCAAGATGCAACAGCCGATGAGGAAGGCTATGATTATGAAGACGAAGAGGATCTTCAGGAGGGGGCTTAAATTTGTGCTTTGTGTTCGGATGTTAGATGATGTTAAGCCCATGTTTGGCCCCCATTAAATTACATTACATTACATTAAATTTTTCTCTCTCTTCATTACAATCACATATTCATCAAATAAAATAATATTACACACAAATCTAAAATTTTCATTACTTTTCCACCACACATTCTCCCATCAATCACTATTCCAAAAATTTTCAACCATCAAAAATGCAAAATAATGGGGGCCAAACAGGGGCTAATTGTCTTAGGGTTTTCCCTCTGAATGGCTTGTCTTTTATTTACTTTGTTTTTACTTTGTTTGCAATGTCTAACCTTCAAGTTGCTTTGAATGTCAAACTCTGTTGTGCTTCACTGGTGGTGTTGATAGGGGATTTTTCAATTACCCTGACTAAGCTTTTTGAATTTTTTATTGAAATGTCTATATTACCCTTAATTATATGAATTTTTATAATTTGAATAATATATCCTTCTTTTTTCATATGTTTAAACATTAGTCTTTATCTTATGTTTCTTCTATTTCTAATTGTAATATACAGTTCCATTCTATGATCTAACAAATTAGAGTAATCTGTAACATATTTATCATATTCTTCGTTTAGTTTCTCATATTCTTCGGATAACATATCCATATTTTCCTTTTGATTTATGATATTTTTTTTATTTTTTCTAACATTCTGTTTAAAAGATTATCTAATCCTTTTATAGTATATTCTAACATTTTAATCATCAACTAAAGCATGCATTATAACAAACTTCAATATGAATAATCCCTACGATTCTTTTAAGATATAAGGAAATTTTTTTTCAAATTTAACAAAATTAATAGTTTTACCTTAATTTTGATCTTTGACTTTTATTCTCTTAATAGAGTGATTTTCAAACTTCTGGATCTGCAAACTACTCCCTTCAACAGTTTCCTGCCTACACGGGATCCTTATTATTCCAACTTTTGTTTTCACTGTATCTTTTCTAAGAATTAAAACTATAGATACTAAATAAGGAAAACTCTTCTTTTGTTAAAATAAGAGAAAAATCTTTTCTTTAATCTTTCAAGAATCTATGAGAAAAATAGTTTAGAAACTCATTTCCATTTGAGAGGATTGGAATGTGAATGATCTATTCCAAATTGGTAGTATTGATATATTTGAAAATTGATACAAGATTTGACAGAAGGTTTTTGGCTTTCTCACAAAATCGAGTGCTCAAAATCGTTCTTTTTCCTCCTAGCTCGAAGGCCTCTATTTATACAAGCATATGATGCAAAATTATTGGCCTTTTACATCACTGATTACATCATTCTCCAATTATGGAGTCTTATCAAAAGTTTAACCACTAAATTATTGTGACTCTATAATTATATAAGACAATCAACTTTATTTCACATCTTCTTTATTCAGGTGGTCCCTTCTACTATTGTCCTTCTGGTCTTACATCTTCATATGCAACTTAAACATTCCCGCAGCTGGCAAGAGTCTTTTATGGTGGTAGGACATCCCGGAAATTGATGGATGTCAAATTTTGTAATGTAGTCCTTTAGTATCTCGAACTTTCTATATCCTCCATTTGTTAATAACATCCAATTTTCATATTAGCAAAGACATGTGAATTTTTTATCGTATAAATTTTTTGCAATATTGTATATAGCATTGATCCCAAGTGTTCTTCTATGTTTTATCTATGACTTGGTTATCTTTGGCATTCCCTTCTCATTTTCCATGACATCTATGTTGAAGTTGGATTCTACATATCCAATTGATATTATATGTTCAACCGGATAGTAAACAACTCCATCAAATTCTGGACCTATTGAGTAAAAGTTTAAGTATACCCTTCGTCCTTTAGGGAATTGTGAAACTTCCTTTATAAACATTTCATCGAATTTTGATAATTCTATCAAATTTTTCCCTAGATATATCAAATCCAAGAATCCATAGTCTGCAATTGTTTTTATGAAAACAGGATCAACTCCTTCCATAACTGTGACTCTGGGATAAACATTATGTCCCGGAGAGATGAAGTATGAATCACCGATCTTCATTTCATAGACTATTTGTACTATTGTGGCATATTTTTCTTCGTTTTTGTCCAAAGTGATCATATCATCTTGGTCTATGATGCTGATTGTTTTGGAATCATTTTTATCTGCTCGTATCATCACTTTTTTATTTGATGTTACTGGAAGAGCATCTCTTTTTTTATCGGTTGGTATGTTGTCCCTTCTGGGTCAACTGCTACTTCCCGCTATACCTGTTTAGTATTGAATTGGAAGACTAATTTCTGAGCTACTTGGTATTTTTGTCTCATACAGTGTATTTTTCAGTTGTGTTGCAATAGCATCAACTTGATTTTTGAGTTCTATGTAATTTTTATGTTGTTCTGTAGTGATATCCAACAATAGTTTTATATTTGAGTTGAATATCTCTGA